TGAAGTATTAGCACCAAGACAAGAAAAAGAAAGCAAACCATGATTAATAGAAATGAAAAAGCATGAAGCTTTAGGGAAACAAAATCAGTAAAGAACCAAAGCATACCGTTAAAAAATTACATCTTCAACCCACATTTGTCATCCAAAACAACAACAGAGAGCCAAAATTAAGAGAATATTTGGTATTTTTTCTTTGGTACTTACAAACAGCTTTAGGTACTCTTGCTCCAATATTTCTATTTGGTAACATAAAAAGCATGGTGTTTATTAGGTTATTGAAAACGATTTCAAAAAGGTAGGAAATAAGCACTTTAATTCTAATTTTTAAAATTCATAATTTTTGCATCTAGCTAATTTACTTAATTAATCTGTCGACATCTTCTTAAAATTAATAATATACATGTTTAAGTAATAAAATATTAGTAACAAATATATGCATTTTTATTAATCTTTTTAATTAAAAAAATTACTTACAGCATTCAGTACTTTATCCAAACACGTAACTGTTTATTTCTTAAATAAGAATTTACTTTCTTTAAATAATTTAGAGCTTTAAGCATATCAAACACTCTCTAAGTTAATAGTGATGATGTCAGCAGTGCTAGTCATTGTTCAGTAGCAAGCCCCAGTGATGTTAAAATTTTTCCTTAATCAACTATCCTGAAGTGTAGAGAAATAAATTAGGAAAATATTTTGGATTGCTTAAATGCCAGTTATAAGCAGGTAGAAGCAATAAGTTAGGAAAATGTCCGAGAAGCTCATTTGCCGCTTAAAAGTAGCTTTAAGCACCATTTATAATCTTCTCGTTTTGGCAACACAAAATTAGAGTATTTATTAGATTTTGAAAAATAATTTTTGAGCAAGTAAAAAGTAAGTACCATATTTCTAACATTCTTAAGTTCTATTTTTTATATCTAAGGCATTTACTTGTCCTTTTCAAATCCTCTTAATTCCACAACAGTGTGAACAACATCAAACAAGAAACTCAAATCGTTTATAATTTTTTACCTTGATTAAATCTTCTAGTGATTCTTTTCAAAAGCATTATACATACACACACACACCCACTCCAAAGTAAAAATTTTAACATAGTTATTAACATTAGAATATCTTATCATATATTTCATAAATATTTGCAATAAATATGTACAACTTTTTATCAAAAAAGAAATATGTAAAGATTTTACCAAAATTAGGTTAGAATAATTATTTTAAATGATTAAAATATATGAGAAAGACTACAAATCTATAGTATCCTTTTTGGCTATTTTAGCAGTACAAGGTACTTATAACATCTTACAAATCACAGCAACTGCTTATCTTTTACAGTAGTACTTTACCCAACTGCATAACTACTTATTTTTTAACAAGAATCTACCTACTACATATTCGTCAGCAATCCCATATAATGCCTAGATAACCAAAATGTTATAAAGTAGTTATACTTGGATGGGAAAATCAAGAAAATAATAATCGACTTACATGAAAAATAACAGAGCTTGCATGACTTTGAAACAAAATCAAGAAGCAGATCAAATTTACCAAAACTAACAAATAAAGCTGTGAACTCCCTTATTACACCTTCAAACATGCTCCAGCCAAAATTAAAGAAAGGGGGTTAAATTAAAATAATATGTAGACACTAGAACTGCTCATTTTGCAGCAGCATGCTATAACAATGTCTATCTTTCTGATTTTATGCTTCAGTTAAGTCTTTACCATGACCAAAAATCCCCTTTTCTGCTTTCTGCTGGAAAACAAAATACTTACATGGCATCCCAGCTTCCCAAGCATACTTCCATTCCCTTATAATTTTTATATCACATCCCCCTCCTATTCAAGCAAAATGCAATACTACGAGAGATCCTTTCTTATTATCAAAATAAGAAAACTACCAGAGATCCTTTCATATGGTTGAAGAAATCACATTGCTGACACTCTCAGTGTCTATCCATGCATCTTTTGAATACCAATTACCTCACACTATTCATGTGTACCAAACCAATAAACATCTAACATGATATGGAAAATTACAGTATCTCCCAATAGCAGTACCAAAGTGAAGATGTAGATGATAAGCAAGAATTGATGAAATGAACAGATCATTTGAAGTTGATTACTTGCCAACATATGGAGGTTATTTACAGTGCATGCCATAACTCAGATGACACCCATGAAAAGACATAACAGTAAATGAAATAACAGATTAGGAAATTAGCACAAGTACTGTTGTACCTCCTCAGCCTCCAAAGAAACTCCAATTGACCCAGTGATATAAGATAGAGGAACGTCCATATTGTAGACTGCTAAATCAGGATAGACATGTGACTTTCCATCAAAATAAATCACTTCCACAGGTTCGATCTCAAATTTTCTCTCACAGTATGCTGAAAATGTTGTCACCTAAGAAATTGAAATAAACAAAACGAAACATCTATAAACGGAAAGAAATATAAATTAGCAACCAATTACCACAAGCAATGAGGATTTTTCAACTCCATACCATTGTGTTCAACACAATCTTAGCCTTCGTTAAGTCAGTTGCCGTGCATTCAATGAGAACATTCTTTGTCCTTAGAGTGATTGCTGAATGTGCACCATTAATAATTGGCGGTAAAGACAAAACCGTTCTGAACAAGGAGTTTAGGTTATTTAGCAAACAGCTTTTTGGCTCCAAAATGAGAAACTAAAAGTTGATAATTATATAGAAAAGAAAATTGAATTTTAAAAATCATATCAACCTCTGTAAAGATAATATCCTGAGTTTTTTAATAGCGAAACCTTTGAATTAGAAGAATTAGCATAACTGCCATCAAATTAAATTTGAAGAAAGTGGAAGTGGACAAGACGTTAACTACGTTAAAAAATATGTTGATAGGGAAGAAATAATAAGATCATATGATGCATTTGGCATTATGACGAAACAATAATACCTGTTATTATCATATATAACAGGGAAGACCGGTGAGTTCTCAATTATGTGCAGAAACTTCTTCAATTTCAGATCTGACTGCCAAACATGTCAAGGAAGAAAGTATATTAAGATAATAGACTAGCAGTTGTTCTGAAGATTTTAACAGTCCAGAACAGTGACTATCCATTCTTATCACCATAAGAAATGTCTAGAAAGTAATAGCAGAGTTGTTTAGTTCTTGAAAATTGCATCAGTGACTCAAAAAGGACCTAATAGTTACTTCCTTATCAAAACAAATCGGCTAGTTGTCCCATTAATATTATGTTTGCTCAAGATGTTTCACTGGTGAATTTCTGATGAACACATACATTTTACATCAAGCATTCAGGCTTCCTCTTAGAGATACCACAAATGAATAGACAGCACACAGGATGCATCTTACTTGCTTATTAAGGAAGAAAAATTTATTATTAGCTAAATCTGTTTTTCCATTTGGTTCGTGGTCTTTACCAAAACTTTCCAACCATTTTTTGATGTGTCAACATGAAATAAAATCTTTTTTTATATTGGTCCTCATCGCTCATGGATCTCTAAAACTCAAACTTCCTACTTCGTACTCACTTTGTAAAACTCCATCAGTTCATCAGCTCTGAAACTTTTCACCTGCATCATAAAATCAATAAAATCGGATTTACCACTGTGTTATGAATGTCAAATCATCCAAATGCAACCACCACCACAAACCAGAAACAGAGAGAGAAGCAACGCATGCTAGAAGAGACAAGCAACCAATTCCAAGCTAATAGAAAACGAAAAAGTCAGAAGAAAGCGGCATCTATGAACAGGTATCCAGGCTCATTTATTAAAACTCAACAGCTAGCAATTAAAGTTATTGAAAAGACATTTCCAGGACCAGCAAAACAAACTAAAATGCCATGCCCTATGAAACAAACTGTAAAGTTCCTAGAGAATATACCACTAAAACAAGAGCAATTCTAGTTATCAGAGGCAACTACTCTGAGAAAAGATAATTAGGGGCAACTTATTTCCAACAAACCAAAGAATGAAAATTGAACTCACAAGATTTGCAAACCAAAAGGCAATATTAGAAAACTTCTACACTAGCTTCCTCTATTATAACACCTAACATCCTATGATCCAATCCAGTCCACACAGATACAACAGCAACATGTTCTTCAATCAATATAAATCTTGAATAACGAAATAATATAATCACTTACTTGTTTCAGTGGCACAAAATTTATATCTGATGGAGACAAAGCCTGAAGCAAAGAGAAACTTAGAAGTTAACGAGGATAATTATCTGTTAGTATTCTTCATGCTAATAAAAATTCTTGAGACAGATTCTTCATGGAAAACTAAGGTCAACTTAAGTATAAGTAAGGCCTTCTATTAAAAAAATGTAAATAAAACCAAGTTGCCAATGCAAACAAATTTCCAAGATCTTAGCCTACCAACAAAATAGGGAGAATGGAAAAAAAAAAGTATATATGAAGACAATTAATTACTAGAGAGTAAACAAAAACCAACCTCATACGTGAATGGGCCTTGTAATGTATCCAAGTCATGAGTTCCAATTGCAACTAGGGTCCTTCGTCTGTAATTAATAAAACAAATCAACAAAAACATCACAGAAAATAAAACGCTCCTGGTGCCTAAAGCATTTTTTCCGTGCATTCAGTCAATCACTACTGAAATGAAACAACCACACCAAGAAATATATAATGAGCCCACAACCCAAACTAAAATACAATTAGTGAAACTCAAGACAGATCAAATATCACCAGAAGACACTGCAAGAAATCATTTTTAAATCTAGTACCAAACTACAGCCAGATAAGACTATGTAAGAAATTACACAAAATGTCGTAAGAAACTGCTCCTACAATTCTCACCATCACTAGTGGCAAACTTATAAATCTAAGAATTACGATAAAAACAAAGATCTATCTAAGCTGAGTTACCAATTCTGCACACCCTACCGGCAAATATTTTGATGAAGCTTGTCTTGCAGATCAATGAAGCTATTATAACTTGCTTCATCGAAAGTAATACCTCTCAAAACAGCACATACAACAAAAGGACGAATCTTAGATGTCTGCAAGAGAAAGGGAAATGGACAATTGTCATACAAAGAGGAGAAAGTATGTGTATCAATTAAACATAAACAGGCAAATAAAAATCCATTTCTGAAAAGATAAGTACCTCTGGCTTTACATACATTTTAAGCATTGAATCCTTACTGATGTTAGCCACTTTGTAAGTTGGTATCTCCTGCTGCTTATTGAAAATGCGAAGGGCTTGAGCTAGCCCTTCAAGGCAAAGCAAATCATATCTGCATGCATACCAAGTAAGGAAACATGAGTGTTCATTCTCTAAGTTTCAATACTCTCAATAGCTTTCCTTATTTTTTCTGTTAATATAATATGTTCCAATCAAATAAAACCAACATCAAAATAATTAAATGGAAAAACACATATCATATAATCATCAAATAAACTCAAGCCAAGCCCTTTGAGCAGTGAGCAGTCTATATGAGTGCCATGTGGCCAAAGATTTCATCAAATGCGTCATTTTTTATTTTTTACAATTAAAGTTTTTAACTTTAAGAGATCCCACACTAGCAGGTAGGTTCTACTGAACAAGAACCAAAATCTGCTTCTCTGCAAAGGAAGAAGGAAATGGAGATGCAAAGCTAAACACCTGAATAACTACACTTCAATCTTAAAGAGGTCCCCTATAAATAAGAGAACAACTTCGACCACTTTGTACTCAATATCATCATAAAAATGGCAAATAGAAGGGTCAAAACCACGAAATTTTGTTTAACCAAATACCAAGTTTATATCTTTGCTGACATACTCATATGTTTGACACAGAATCCAGTCAAGGGGAAGTTATATTATCAATAACCATACACATAATATATATACCCATTTATATGCAGTCGTTCAACAACACTAGACAGTGGATACTCATGTATGCTTCTATATTCATTTGACCACCAAGACCTCATATCTAGTTTCCTAAATGTTAATACAATTACAATATATAATATCAGACACTGATTAAGTATGACAATATAAACTATACACATGTCTATACGTACCTGTTAGCAGGAACTTCAATTTGTATATGACTTCCTCATCATCATCCGCTTCCTCTTCGCCCAAATGCTTTTCTTTCCTAATTATAGCTTTCTCCGTTGTCTGACATACAAATGCAACTCCAAGTCAAACAAATAAAACTAACAACTCGTCTAAATACAAATAAAACAATCAAAAACGAGACAGGAACTGCGAATCGCTTACCACATCGTCAAGCTCAATACCAAATCGGAAGCACAAATCTTCGAACTCCTCTTGTGCTACCGAAATTCAAAACGAATAAACGCGAAACAGTTAACCAGTATCTTAGCATAAAGGAAATGTCATTGACTACTAATTGAGAGAAAATGAGAGAGAGAGAGAGAGAGAGAGAGAGAAAGAAAAAAAGCTCACTGTAAGATTTTCCTAGGGCTGCGAAGAGACGATCCCTGACAACACTGACAGTAGGCATGGCGGATTTCCGGAGGCCGATGTGCGTGTGGCGGAGCCGCGGCGGAATGAGGAGTGGAGAGCGAAGATAACGAGAAGAAAGTGGGGGGAACACTCGGAATATAATAGGTTGGTAGGGTTAATTAAAGATAAATTATTATTTTGGCCCCAAAACTTTGGTTATTATACAATTTAGCCCCAAAAGAATTTTTTATTACAATTTAATCCTAAAACTTTCTCAATTATAAAAATTACTAATACCATTTAATTTTAGATAGAAAAATTTTATTAAAAAAAACAGCTTTAAATTTGTTTCGAGAATAATAAAAACACAAATACCTCATTAAAATCAACAAGAGCAATCCTACATTTGTGTAGACAATGATTTTATGTACTTAAAAATGATCATTTTTCGGAAAACAAAAATAATTTATCATAATTGAACTCAGCAACCTCAATTGTCTATTGTTACGTTGAAATTGGTCGAAAAATTTTGAAGCAGAAAACTAAAGAAAACACAAAGAAGATACGGGTGAAGACAGAGGAAAAATATGAAGCAAATTTGACCATAAAATAATTAATATAAGAGAAAAAATATGAACTTCTTTGTAAAATTCAGAATAAAAATAGTTCATACCGATATGTAACTGAAATTTAAAAGAGTGATTAAGAGTGATTAATACGAGTAAGAGTGATTAATTATCCCAACGTTATTATTCGACGAGTTTCAACTAATATGAACCTCAGCTCAATAGTTTTATTAAGAAAACTTGTGACTTGAAATAGAATGATATTATCTTTTAAAAAAATTTAGGGTTTGAAAGAAGAAACCAAAAAAAATAGAATAAGAAAAAAAAAATATAATACCCTTTGTTTGAAAATTAAATTTTTAGTGAGTCGATTGTCTTATCAACGTAAAATAAAAACATTACTAATAATCGGTAATTTGTTTAAAAATTACATTTATTAAAGTCGTCTGTTCGAAAAATATATTTTTGTTGAATAAATTATATTTAATATAAATAAAGAGGAAGGAGATCCATGAGAGCACTAAGAAGATGACAAATCTTTTTCCTAATTTCCAAATTAGCCTCAATTTATTACAACAAATTTTTTGAGGACTAAATTGTAATGTTGATCAAATTTTGAGGACTAAAATACATATTTATCATACATAATATAATATAAATATATTTTTAAAAAATTAATATATAATTAAATGTGTTATATAAAATTAGTCAATAATACAATTAAGTAGTTTAGGTATATATTAGTCTAATATATAGTATTTTAAAAAAAATTATTATATAATTAAATGTGTTATATAAAATTAGTCAATAATACAATTAAGTACTTTAGGTATTATTAGTCTAATATATAGTATATTTAAAAATATTTAATCTAATTAATTATATATATATATATACAAACATATAAATACACAAATTAAAAAATAAAATAAAATGAAACGGTGCCGACAAATCTATAGGTGTTTCTCTTATATCTAACTTCTTTTTGTTTTTTTTCCTTGTTTTTGTTATGATATTTATTGTATAATCCAAAACGGTGACGTATTAACTTTGATCTATTTTTATATAAATTTGGTCTCTGCAAC